AGAGAGAGAGAGAGAGAGAGAGAGAGAGAGAGAGAGAGAGAGAAGTGGAGAGGTACAGATGGACCCGACGCAGTGACTGACTGGCACGCAGACACACACTTTTTGTTTGCTGCACATAATCTGCCCAATGACGCGTGACAGCCCAAGTCCCCTCCCTTTAACTCTTTGCTGGGCTGGGCGCTCCCTCGGCGCCGCCAGCCTTCAAGTCTTCTCCCCGGCCAGCGTGCGCCCCAGAGCCCCGCGTCTCTCCCCCGGGCGACGCCTCTCCAAGTGCAGTCCGGCCCACCTCCTCCCAGACTGGGACAGCCAGGTGGGGAAAATCCGTTTCAGGATCGGAAAGGAAGGGACCGAGAGGACCGGGGGCTGCCCTTTCCCGTTGTGGTAGGCACTTGGAGGACCTAGGACAGAGCTGGACACGTAGTGCACATGCAGTCCGCGCGAGTAGCCCCAGTTCTGTGGCCACCGAGGGGTGCCGGGCAGTCCCGAGGGACTCTCTGGCCTCCGAGTCGCTGCTGATTAGCGGAGCCAGTTGACTTGGGGGTGGGTAAGCGGGCTCCAGGGTCTCTCCCTGAGCGCCCACACTAGGAGCCCTCCCGTGCAAAATCCAGAAAGGATGCGCTTTGGCAAGAACTTTGCTTAGGCTTCGCGTGGCACCGAGTTGGAGTAAAGGGATAAAGTGGGGACTCACCAGACCTGGGAAGGAAGGGGACTTGCACGGGTCCTCGCTTCCCAGCACGTGGGTACCTACCTGCGGGCTAGGGCTGGAGGGAGTGAGGGGGTGTTGGTGAGAAGAGCCCAAATTACAGGACGCAAGCTGTCCCCGCTTTGTCGACCTCTGCGTTATGTGTTCTGCGTAGTCCCGAGGGATCCCATAATGAGGACGGCCAGTACTGTATGACCTGGGAGTTGGGAGGGGAATGATTCAAAGTAAAAGTTATTACCGAGATGGGCTCCAGAGAGTCGTTCACGTCCAGCCTCGCGCGGGGTGTGTGTGGGGGGGGGGGGCGTTGAGGCGTCTCTGAGGGGCTCAGTTTAGGCATTCAGCCACTTAGAGGCTGGGCCTCTTCCTTCCACTGAGCCCTATGCTAATGATGTGAGGCCTTTAAAGGCAGGAAAATAGGCTCAGTGGACTGCGGCTAGTTTCACCCGGGGGCTCTCGGGGCTCCTTCTCACTGTTCAGCTCTTCTCCTAAAGGCAGAAAGGCCTTGGAGTGATAGCCGGTCCTTCAGTCCCCCCCCCCCCCATCGGTGCTCCCACACATTGAAGTGGGCAATCTGTCAGCTTTAGGATAAATAGGATTGTGGAGCCAGCTAAAGGGTGAGAGGCCGAACCAGGACTTCAGGAGGGAGCAATCTCTCTTTTCTCTTTTTCCCCCAGGGTTGAAATGAGGTGACTATATTGGGAGTTGGCTAAGATCAACTTACTCAGTTAGTTGGACCTTCTGCAAGATCTGAGACCTCTCTCTCTCTGGAACCCAGAGGGCCATTAAGGCATTGAATGCCTTTTCCTGCAGCTTCAGGTCACTCCAGGAGGCCAGCGAAGGAAGACTGCAGAGCAGAAATGAGGTGTGAGGAAACTTCTCACTGCGTGTCAGCTCCTCCTTGGGATCTCCCCCACTATCCCCTTCTCTCCCCCTCTCCCTCTTCCTCTTCCTTTCTTCTCTGCTCCCTCTTTCTCTTCCTGCCCTTCTCTTTTCTGGCTAGCACCCCCCCCAACAAGTTCCCAGTACTTCAGATCAGACAGAATCTCTACCTAGGATTAAGGTGGGACTCCAATCACAGAGGGTAGAGAGCTCCATATATTGGGAGTAAGGGCAGAATTCTCCAATAACTTCCACGTTAGTTACAGACTTTTCATGGAAAGCTTCTGGAACTGCAGTTTTCTTTCATCTTAAGGTGTCATTTCTGTTATGCAAATATGTGCAGTTTTAAATAGCTTAGCTAAGAGTGATTCCTAATGAACAAGGCTCCATGTAATGAAGGCTCTCATATGTCTCTGTAAGACTCTGAAGAACAGTTGCCAGATACATAAGTTAACTAAGAGAAGACAAAAGAAGCAAAAGAAAGGGCAGGAGAGGCCCAGATGTAAACAACAGCACCTTAAGGTAGGCAAGTACCCATAAGAGAGTTGTGGTTGCCAAGGAGGTACAGCCTGACTAGTGTAGCACTAGTGTAGCTGGGGTTGGGGGAAGAGTGAGTTCAGAAACTTAATTCCATCAGTCAGTTAAATAGAACACTCCTTGGGGCCTGTTTTGGCTGTCACTTAGGAAATACAGAGTTGTTTTTCCCAGAAAAAGTCATCTGTCCATGCAAGCCGCTATTAAACAACCCTCTTACACACTGTGAATCTATAAGCATCTACTCCAGAAGGTGGGCACTCAGAAAAAAAACTCTCACTGGATGTATTTCATGAGATTGACTTTTCCCTTCTTAAGTATAGAGGATGCCTCCTGTAAGGTACGGAAACCTAGTCTCAGCGTGTGTAAAATAAAGACTATTTCTTCTACTTAAGTTGGGAATGGGAAAGCTTTCCAAGCTCAGCTAGACAACAGCTGCATTCCATACTTCAGAGAGAAGGGTTGATTGAGAATCTGCCCATCAGGTTTCACCTCAGTAACACTTTTTTTGTCCTCTAATTAGATTTCTCCTCCTGCTTCTTTGTTTTATGAGCCAGATGACTGAAATGTTAAAATATGAGTAAGATTAAGTTGAAGTTCCTACTTAGAGGGGTTTCCAGTAATTTAAGTGGTACCCATTTTATTTGGTAATATAAATGTTCTAAATGACAATCATTAATAGGAGATACAGAAATTCTGCAAATTATTTTTATTTCTCTTTAATTTTACTAGCTAAAATGGTGCATAAACTACTTTGAAATCACTTGCTGGAATTCACTGATACCAAATGAAGGGTTGAGGCATTTATTCAGCCTCAGATAGTACTATAAAAATATCCCTCAGCCAATAGTTTTATGTAATTGACATGGAACAATGGATTTATGCATATTTTTGGAGATCTCTTCCCTGGGATTTTATTTCCAATTAAGTGATGAGAAGAATGACAATGAAGAGAGAGGAGCTCACCTTGCTGTGCCTTAGCAAGACTCTACACTACTATGACAAAATATGTGTGCAGAAAACTGCAGGGTTGTTTCCAGCTGAAGAGACCTTAAGAAAAGACTCCTGAGGTGGACCTGGTATTGGGGGTGGCGATATCAGAAAGGAAATCTGACTCTGAGTATTAGAATAAGCAATGCCTTTTCTCCTCCAAGGTTGGGAAATGGAGCCCTAAATATCTTAACTTCTATAACAGGAGGCAAGTAAGAATAACTTCCAATAACTCACTTAAAGATTATTACTCTAGAAGAATGAAAATACATTGTTTTTCTTTTTATATGTCTTTCTATGTCCTGGTTCATCCTTCTCTAATTCTATTTCTAAAGCAACACACCAGCAACAGCTTGGTGTCAAGAATGTGGCAATTCATGGTGTGGTGGAAGGAAAAACCACACCAGAAGATGAGAGGATACCAAGGAAGCAGAGGGTGGCTGCTCTTTCCTAAGCCTCTTGATTTCCACAGGGAGGTCTATGGAAGGGACTGTACGGGATAAGGAAGGCAGAGAATGCAACTCCAAGGTGAAGCCTTGCCTCACCTAACCTCACCATCCAGGATCAGGAACTTTCTAAGGGATAAAATTGACTGATTACTTGTATGTGAAGAAGAAACAGAAATGATAGTTTGATGGGTCGGGGAAACACGAGTTCTGGGCAAAAATGTCCAGGGTTATTATTTCCTGTCACTTTGTCTTTTATCAGCAAAATGATACTTGGTGGGTTCAAAAGGAGGAATTGGGAGGTCATCTTAACTGATATTTGTTTGTTTGTTTATACATCTTGGTGAATCAAGGATAGGCATACTTGCTGAGCTGAATAAAGGTTTACAGGGGTTGGGGAGCACGTTGTTTTGATAAGTATATGTGGCAAGCTCGCTTTGGGTCTGTTCCTCACCTTAAATATTACAGTTGGTTCACTGGGTGACAGATGAATGCATATTTTCCAAGATGGCTCTGGAAAAGCCAGAAACTCAAGGGTGGATAATTCTATAGCCTGGGAGGAGAGCCCTCATACTGCTACCTACATAGATTCTTCCTCAGCTCATAATTTTCTCTCTTCAATACATACCATTTTTAATGCTGCTGCTACTACTATTATTACCATTGTGATTATAATCTACCTTTCTCAAGTTTAAGTCTTTCTCTCTGAGCCAAACTCCACCTACCCTCCTGTTGAAGTTCAGCTGAGAGCTAGCTAGTCCATGAAAGTCTTGTGTTATTCTCTTCTGCTATTCTGTCCTGGATCTGAGGTGTAGTGAACAGGCCCAAAGGCTTCTGATGATTTCCAGCAGGGCTAGCAAACCGCAGTGATCTACCATAGACCTGAATGCTCCCCACTCACCAAGTCCGATATCCAATATCCAATATCTAATATCCTGACCACCTGAATCCTCCCAGCTTTTACACTCCTCCTCAGGGGAATATCAAGAGTTCTGGCAATGAATGGCTACTTTTTTGTCAAATCCACACATGGCAAAATCCTTCCCAGACTTGGACACCACAGCCCTTCCACAGGTCACAGCCAGCCACTCTGAGCCTCCTCACCCACTGGGCCAGGCTTTCCAAGCAGACTGGGGACCAGAGAGTGTCCAGCAATCTCAAAGAAAATCTTAAGAAGATTGATCATAGGCTATAGGAATGTCACCAAATTGAGAGGCTCTATATACATCTAACCTCCTCAGGCAGCCAGGAGAAAGGGCATCATCTCAAGATTCAACACCTGGGTTCTATTGCATTTCCTCTCCTTTCAGGTTGTAATTCGGGAATTAAGAGAGGCACTGATTGCTGCCCAGTGTGTACTCCTGGGGATGAACAGCAGAAAGCATTGTTCTCTGGGGGAAGGGGTATGGCCATAGGGCAAGCAGGCTCATGCCTTTCCAGTTTGGATTTGGCTTCTGTATCCTTTCCTGAGGCCTAAGGAGATGGGAATGACATCAATTAGTTATCATAATAATGATGATTCACATTGCATTTTTAGAGATCTGGAAATATCCAAACATTTTAACTGCTCCCCTGCTTATAGCCAATTGAACTTTTTTTTAGTGAAAATCAACTTTCATAATTTCAATTCATAAAAATTGCAGGTGTTCCATTATTGAATTTAGCATCAATGGAGAATATCTTCCTAAATGTGGAAATCCTTCAGAGCTTTCAACAGATTTTCCAAACCACTTAAAACGGCCAAGTCTTAGGCAAGTCTATTTTCAATCCTAATACATGAGGAACTAGTCTTCTACAGAATTCAAGATAAACTTGTCATAAATAATAGTAACATCATAAGTACTATCAATAGCACTAGATATACAATATGAAGTGGAGAAAACAACAGATAGGAGGAGCTGAAACTTGCATTTGTTTTCTTAAACTTGTTGAGTAAAAAGCTTCTTCTTTGATAGTCTTGCAATAGTCAAAATATTTATAATACTCTCTAATGTTGTAAGAAAATCTACATTTAAAAAATGAACAATATCCAGAACTGCCCAATAAAGTCTTCATCGATCCTTAAGAATAAGCATATTGAATATAATGATCTGGACATTGAGATTTTCTAGGCCTAGAATTCAGGTTAGGTCTGAACAACTTTATACTTGATCAGACATGGTTGTGTGTCTGTGTGTGTGTGTGCACGCGCATAAGACAGGATGAATGTTTTCCAAAGTTTCAAGGTTTAAAATAAAAGGTTTAGAACTGTCATTTTCCACAGCTGCATGTCTGCAAAGTAGCCAGTGCCTTTCGTGTTTTCATGTAAGATAATTTTGAGACAACAGTTTCATGTGACCTTATATAGCAGGGTAACTAGTCCTGGAGAGACAGTGAATGGGGTTATAGAGGGTTATATCTGTTCTGAGTGTGGTTGTTGTATCTAATCCCTTATGTATGAGAAATCAGACACCTTAGAGCATTATTGACATTCTGGAGTTCTAAGGCCCTAGGAAGTTCATGTTGCTGGAAAAGTGATGTTCCCCTGAACTTAAGAAAATATCCTGGAGAAAGCCAATGCCCAGAGTGGACATTAGGGGTCTTTCCTCACTCCGGACACTGGATCAGCTGCTTATCCCCAAGGCTCCTGGTTGCTGAGTCTGAGGCCAAAGTTTGGACCGCAAGGCAATGCCCTGAAGCACGTGCTAGACTGGGACGATTCCTGATGCCTGGATTCCTGAGCCCATGCTCCGGGAAAGGCAGTGACAGAGCTAAAGGTGCAGAGAAGGCCAAAGGAGGGCTTCAAGGTAGGCAAATTGGCCTAAGAGATACAGAAAGCGTCACAGCAAGGCTGAGAAGGGCATATGCTGCTACATTTTCACTGATTCATTCAGATCCTTGTCACCGGCTGGGTAACTGGGCAGGATGAAACATATCACCTTGAGCGGGGTGAGGGGGTGGGGGTGGGGGGTTCGCCGGTATAGAAGTTTGCATAAGCTGGAAACGGGGCAGGAAGGGGCCTCCCGGCCTGCTCGGTGCGCTCGCTCTAGGTGCACCTGTTAAAGAAAGTAGGGACAAAGTGCATCACCTGAGAGCTACTTTCTCCTTGTTCTTCAGCCTCCTATGGTCTCCTAGGAACTGGTACCAACACTTTCCTCCTGCTAGGCGATCTCTTTCTGTGAGGAAAGGCGGTCCAGGGGCCGGGTCTGCGGGAACCAGTAATACTCCCTTTTCCAGCACCGCCCTCCATCTGCCCAAGCGCACCAAGACCTCGCCCCCGCTGGTCTCTCTCGACTTGCTCACGGGGCTGGAGACTGTGATTCCGCCTCTCACTAGCTGTGCTGCCGGCGACCCAGCTCAGCCTCAGTTTCGCTCCAGTGGAACTCACGCTGGCGAGGACAGCGAGCGGCCTGCAGGACCTCGGTGAGGACTCGCAGGAACGGGGGCGAGAGCGCTCTGGAAAGCGGCTGTGAGCAGATGGCTAGGGATTACGTCCAAGAGCCGCACTGGTTTCATTTCAGTCTTGGACCTCGCAGGGAGGGCTTGTGCCTACATTAACAAACATTCTCCTCGGAGGTCTAGTTCACTGACCCCAGAAGACCGACCTGCAGCTCGGGCTCAGGGACCCCACCACTCTACGGGGAGCCAGGCTGCCCGGCTCACTCCCGGTCCTGTAGGGGACGTTAACCTGCGTGGGCTTCAGGCCTCCCTCCACGAACCCAAGGCAGTCGGGGAGCTCTTTCCATAAAGTTATCTCGAGGGCTAGGCTGCTGCTAGGCGTGGAGTAAATGCTCATTGTAGCACCGCCTTTGTTACTAACACCGCCTACGGGCCTCGCCAGAAAACAGGGGGTGCCTGTCTTGCTCGCGCTTCCGAAGTGGCTCAGAGAAAGGTCGGAATTGCTCGAGGTTTCTGGGAGGATCATGTGGAGGCACCGCAGCACAAACTCGGCCGGAGAAGTCGGCCAAGGGCACGAGAGTTCCGGCCCAGGGGCGCCATCCTTCCCCTCTCCCGAGCGCCTCCCAACGGGTTGAGGCCGGTGTGGCGCTGGAGGCCTGGCAGGGTGGCCTGCGATGAGACTCTACCCCTGCCCCACCCCGCGCCATGCCCCCCCCATTCCTTTTTTTAGGCCTGGTAGAGGGGCCAGGGCGAGGTTAGGAGCTCAAGGAAGTCAGGGTGACAAGGTCCGATGCAGGGGGACTTCGTGAGGTGACTCACTGATTTCAGGAGAGGTCCTGATGGTGGGGTGGGGTGCTCCTTCCACCCCTGAGGCAGCTAGGGCAACAACCCCCCATCCCCCCAGGCTGGAGCTGGGCTCATTTCCACCCCGCAGCCCCCCCCCTTCCTGCTCGGCGCAGGCTGGGGGGTGGGGTTCAGGACTGAGATCGGAGTCTTCTCCCCACTACTCCCTTACCGAACAGACACAGTCTGGGCCAGGCTCATTAAGTTTCATCCGCAGGCTGTATAAATCCCCCCCACCCCACCCCCGCTCCCCATACCGGGTAACAAACAAACTTCGGTTGGGGGTTCCCTGTTTAGGACTTGAAATTTGGGGTCCAGAACAGTTAAATTCGAATTCTGGGTTTGCAATCTACCAGCTGTGTGTCTTAGAACAAATCACTTAACCTCTCTGAACTTTGGTTTCTTCACTTGTAAAGAATATAATAAAACCAGCCTATGTCATGGAGTGTCTATGACTAGCAAAGCCAAGCTTGGGATCAGGTCCCAGCAAGGCCACTTGTGTGGGTTAGTTAGCATTCCTGTTTTTCTGTTTTCCATGAAGAAGGGGGCATCTGTGATGATAGTAGCATCAGCATAAGAATTCCATGAGGTAAGACTGTCAGAGCATTGATCCTGGCACACAGTCACTGAAACGCCTGCCTCTGACATGCATCTTAGCTCTTACCAACTTTCCTTCTCTGTAGAGAGAAACAAGACACAGAGGTGTTAGAAGGTGAGTTGGCAGTGCTCAGATTGTGCAGAGGTACAAATGAGGTGACATTTCTGGAAACCAATAAAATTATTCAAAAGGGAAAGGTGCTGAAAAGATTTCTTGAGTGGAAAGAGCTTTGAAACTCAGGGAGACCAGGAGTCCTCTAAAGTGGGAGGGGGGACTCAGGAGTGGGGATTGGCTTCGGTCTCTAGTGCCTGGCAGTCTGGTGGCTGAGAGTCTCTGTGTGCTAGGACTACTGTTGTGTGACTTTATGTTGTGGCCCCTGGGAAGGAAGATCTGGGGATGGGGTGGTACTGCTCTAGGGAGCCAGGTTCTGAGGGTAGGAGGAGAGGCCTCGGGAGAACAGGCTCACCCACAGGGCAGACAGAGGGCCACCTGAGGCATGGGTGAGCTGACACTACATGGATATATTGGGGTGGGGACTAGGCCTCCAGTAGAGGCTCAAGCTTTGTATATTCTCCAAAATTTGGGAATTCAATTTGGAGCCCATCCCTTAGACAAGTTCTCAGCTCAGCCCCTCCCACAGAGGACACATACCTGTGTAACCTTAAACCCCACTGCTTCCCCTCTCTTTCGAGTTAGAGCCCCTCTAACTCTTCCAGGGGCTAACTCAGCATGCTTCTTTTCCTTCAGGACAACGTGATAATGGATGAAGATGTCTGACCCACAACTAATGAGGCTCCTAGGGAAATACAGCCCCCAAACAGCATTCAAGACCATACCCTTCTGCTCTTTGCCCGTTGAGGGCAGAAAATACTACCTGGGTTATTTCATAAATTTCGAGCTCTCAGCCTGCTCTGTCCTTAGACCCTGAGTAAAAACTGGTGTTCACAGAAAGGCAAATAAAATAAAATAAAACTCAATTCCTTAATGTTTGACCCCAGGGGCAAAGGAGACACTGGTGAGAAGGGGCCACAACTTGGAAAAAGATTTATTTTTTTCTGGCTGTAAATCTCATCCCGTTGTTCCCCTGCCCAACGAAGCATGATAAAGTCCTTTTCCATAAAGTATTCAGTATTAGAGCCACAAAGCTCCCCCAATCAGTAGCCATCTGCTTCTACCATAACTGCTGCTGCCTAGGCAGGGAAGCAGCCGCAGAGAAAGGGCCCCACTGTTAGCTGCCGGACAAATGAGGAGCCTGAATAGCTTTGGTTTTCCTTGTGTATCTGTATCTATAGAGACAGGAGAAGAAAGGCCGCATTATATTGATACAACAATTGTAAAACAAAACACGGAAGAGGCATCTAAAGGGCAATATCGCATGCATCAGGGGTCCCCAGATAAAAGGGGCGCTAACAGATTTATAGAAACCTTTAATTGCTTTTCAATTGAAAGCTAAAGAGGCTGGGGCGAAGCTGTGAAGAGTGGCAAAGTGCTCTCCCTCAGCCGTCTGGAGGCGTGATCGATTTCACGGAGGGAGGGAGAAGAGAGGCGCCCCAACCGCCCGGCGCCGCTCAGCGAGGCCAGGGAGCGACTGGGCGCGGGGAGCTCCCCCTTGGGCCAGGAGTTTCTGACCTGATCTTAGAATCTGCATCCCCCTCTCCCTCTCGCTCACTTTCCCTCCCTTCCTCCCTCCTTCAGGCCAGCAGGCAAGCGGAGAGTGGAGGAAGGAAAGGCAGTAAATCTAGCGCCTAGCTCGGGAAGAAACAGACCCAAACCCTCCGCAGGCCCAGACTTTCAACCTAACCACCGGCTAGGGGCGGTGAGGCCTCTGGGAAGGAAAACGGGGCCCCTCCCTCCCCCTACGCCAGCCCCCTCGCCAACTCTAGATCCGAACAGAAGAACGTAACACCCCAGGGAGAGGTCTTGGGTTAGGTTGGCGCTGGGGTTGGGGTTGGGGTTAGGGCTAGGGTTAGGGTGCACTTCACCCCTCCCCGTGCCTCGGGGGCACTGCCCACCCACGCTGCAGCCCCAGACGTAGGTCCGTCTGTTCCCAAAGCTAATTTATTGGTCCGGCCCTCCATTATCATTTCAGCTTCCTAATTAATCAAGGATAAAAGGCAATGGCGCAAATTACGATTATGAGGGAAGTGGAAGACGGTTTTGAATAAAATGAGAGAAGCGAAATATGATTAATTGAACGACATGATAGTGAAATCTGAAGCTCGAGGAACAGGCCCCAGGGGTCCAGTTCTGGCTGGTCCGCCTGACTGGATAACCTCTCCTCCTGCCCTAGCGGCTGCCAGGAGGCCGTCTCCACCCTGGGTCACTTGGGTCTCCAGCCCCTGTGCTCACCAGCCTACCCTGTCCCCTTGGCCATGCCCTCCAAACCACCACCGCAGGGGTCGAATTTCTGGACCCCTGGCCAGTGAGTCCATCCACATCAGTCAGGTGTGCTTGGGGGGGGGGGTGGGAAGGCTACTGGGCACTGAGCTACCTTTTAAAATTTTGAGACAGGGTCTACTAAGTCCTTAAATTGGCCAGGGTGGGCTCAAACTTGGGATCCTCCTGCCTCAGCCTACAAGCGCCTTCTGATTGAAGTGCCCCATTGCGGTGGGAAAGCGCAGAGGGTCTTCTCTCTTTCTTTTCTGTCCTCGCCGTCCCTCTAAGCGAGGCTAACACTTTTTGCAGTTGCAGGGAAACAAGTCTAGTAGGTCATAGATCGCCTGGACTCATGTCAGGGATTAATAGAGCCCTTGTCTGATGCTGTTCTCCGGAATTACGTCAGGAATTAAAAGGCTGACACCGCACTGGCACACATTTTGCCTTGGCTGCTCGTTGTGATTAATGTTTCCGAGGGGATTTATCCTGGGAGCTTATGGAACTCGTTCTGGGGTCTAAAGCCCGATGGTGACCGCCTTGCTCAGGGACCTGAGGGCACGGTGGGCGCACACCGCACCCCACGGGACAGGAAGGGAGGGTGAGCTGCGCGGGACGCCGAGCGCGGCCTCTCGGGTCACTCCCCACCACGGCGCGGACTCTGGGGAGGGAAGCAGCGAGGACTGTCCGGGAGGGCTGTGCGGGGAGCCACTGTCCGGCCTGTTGTCTTTGCGGAGGGAGCAGAGGGCTCACCGCCGTGCCAACGCCGCCGAACTTTGCGCGTCCCGGAGCTCTACGACTCGACCCGGGAAGCACCGCACCCCGGACCCTCAGCTGCCATCTCCGACCCCGAACAAAAACTAGTCACCTTCGCAGAGGGGCCACATTCACATCGTCTCCGGCCCGTAGAACCCTCAAGAATATGAGGGTGCAAGAGAGAGGGAAGGCAGGAAACCTGTCAAGCGAAAAGAGAGGAGCAAAGCGAAAGAGAGAGGGAAGAGGGCTAGCAGTGGGGAGTAGAGGCGCTGGAGCGCCCCGTTGCTCCGGTGCGTGGCGCGGCTCTCGGGTGGGAAGGGGCGCCACTGCGGCCTCAGGGTAGGGCGGGACCCAGCAGCGCCCACTTCTCCAGCAGGTTCTGGGAAGTGGGGCGCCCCCTCCTGGAGCCTGCGCAGCGCTCCCCGCTGTCCGGCTGGCGCACTGTCCCAGCCACTGCTGCACCCTGGACGACCCGGGTGGGATAGGATAGGGGGATAATGGGGTTCTGGGAGATGGGGGTGGGATGGGGCTGGAAATCGGTGGCGGGGAGTGGAGTTGGGCGGTCCCCGAGCCCCGTCCGAGGCTGCCTTACCTGCGTCCCCCGGGGCACACCGCCCCCTCCCGGTCAGACAGGCGCCGGCCTGCAGTGCTGAGCAGCCAGGTCAACGCAGAGGCAGCTGGCCGGGAGGAGGGGACCCTGCGTGCCGCTCTCGCTGCGCCGCCATCTGGAGCCCAGGCGGCGGGGCGGGGTGGGCTGTGAGGACCGGGCAGGCGCGGGGCCCCTTGGCTGGCCGGAGACTCTACGCGGGAGGGGAGGGGAGGCCCTAGGGCCCCGCAGGGGGCGTGGGAGGAGTGCGGCCCTTGGGAGGAGGCGCAGAGGTGGTCCCCATGAGTCCTCCGGATCCCGGGCAGGCCCGGTTGCCAGGTGTGGAGAGGATGCTGGGGACGTGTTAGGCCGCCTCCCCCGGTCCCCAGCTCCTGTCCCCCTGGGAGTGGAGGGCTGGGACCCGAGCTTGGAAACTGTCTTACAGGCGCGCACACCCTTGTTGGCCAGAAGCAGTTTTCTCATTTCCCCTTCCTCCCACCTCATCCATCCCTCTCCAGGAAACACTCCGTTCCAAATGGCAGGAGGGTTTGGACACCTCCACCCCAAGACAACTACTTCAGCCAGAACGTGGAACGGAAAGTGACAGGCTCTCTCGCACCCTTGAGGATAAACGTTCCCCAGGCTCCGGTGGGCAGTGGAGGAGGTCGGAACCAGAGAGGCTGAGGAAGGGATAGGGCGTGGGTAGCTCACCCTTGCACTTGGAGAGTAGAGAAGAGCGGGACGAGCTGGGGCTGTGGAACCCCTTTTCATTTCAGCTGTTCTCAGTGGGATTTTTCCTTTAACCTTCTAAACAGTTTTCCTTTTTGGAATCTGGTTGGGGGCAGGAAGGAGAGAAAAAGCAGGAGAATACTGGAGGCTGGGGTGTTCTGAGAACTCTGGGCGTGGCGCTGTCTCTCAGAGCCACTCTTGGCGGTGGAAAGGGAGCTGGTTGGGTGATGGACAGTGGTGGGTGACCCGAATAAAAAATAAAGAAAAGGCAGACCCATTCCCACCCCAACGCATTCAAAGATATCCTCACCCCCAGCTGTCTCGGGTCCGGCAGAATGGCATTATGTAAAAGATCTGGCATGTCACCCAGTGGCACATCTGGTAGGTGTAGATGGCATTCATTAGCGTGGGGCTTCTACTCTGCGGCATGCCAAAGCGCTGACAGAGATGCCCGCTGCCAGTCATTCGTTCGCTGCCAGTCCCAGAGCGCGGCCGGGCTTGATGGCTCCCTTCCACCCTGGCACCAGGACTGGAGGAAACAATGTGTTGAGATCCGAAAAGATGAAAGCCGAGTTGAGGACGAGAGGCACCCAGCAGATGTACCCTGTGAGGAGACGATGGAGCAAGAGTCATTTAGCAAGAAAGCATATGCGGGAGCTCAGGAGGGAGGCTTGGGCACGGTTCTGCCTGCCTGGGGCTGAACTGAGCAGAGGATGGGGAACCCCTCTAGAAACCTGGAAGCTGAGGTTGTTTCTCTGAAAACACACAGAAACCCAACCCCCAACTCCCTAATGCAAGACTTCCTCTTCTCTCTCCTTGGTTTATCTCTTGTACCTCTATTTAGAAACCTACCTGGCTTTGAAAGATCAACTTCCTTGCCTGTGTCATGGCTTTCCAATAAACAAGATAAAGAGCGCCTTCCAGTTTTTAGTTTTGCATAATCCTGCCTTGTAATTTGTGTGGGGAGGAGGGGTGCCAGCCCTTCTTCACTGCATTTCCATAGGTAAAAGTCTTGTTTAAATTCTTAACCTTTTCAAGAGAATAAAGATGAACAAAAGGAAGAAATTGCTCAAAATGCGAAGGAAAATTAAACACAATCTGGGATAGAGGACGTTGTCTTAAACTGGGTGGCTGTTCAGTATACTGCTTTTCTTTTGCCATACGTGTTTTATGAATATTCTTTTACCCATTCAATATTTAATAGAACAAGAACAACAGAACTCAGGGTTTTTAGAGTATGTAGGACTCAGTATATACATTGAGTCTAATCCAACAGATTTTTATTACATGTACATTTATTTATTTATCTAGCAACCTTGAATATGTTGGCTCTTGGTCACAATATAACTGCTGTATATGTGCATATGATCTTTAGAATTTTGCTGTTTTTAATATATGCTGTAAAATATTTGGGAATCTGATACCATGAATTTATTCATGATTTATCTGAAATTCAAATTTAACTGGGCATCCTCTATATTTGTTTGCTATTGGCTCATACAAATATATTGGTCACAATATAACTGCTATAATTCTAGGCATCATATTATTATTTTAAGCATGAAGAAAGAGGCAGGATTGAAAAGATGTGGCTGTTTCTTTTGATTAGTGAAGAAAACACTTTCATTTTTCATCAGCTGGATCTAATCATCTGGCCGCAGATACCTAAGGAAGCTAGTCTGTATTTATTATTATTACTGTTACTACTACTACTATTATTAGTGCTCTGGGGACTGGTTTGGGTCTTTAGCCCTTTTTATATTGAAACAGGATCTCCCTAACTCTTCTGCCTGCCTCAGCCTCCCAGTGAGCTGAGATAGCAGGCTTGAGGTACCTAACACCCAACCTGTGAAAGGGTGCAAAGAGCAGAGTGTGATGACCAACAACTGTACACCTGCTTCTCGCTAAAGAGAATCTGTCAAACAACCGAGGGGCAGAGGGAAGTTCTTGTTAGCACCAAACAAGAGTATATTATCCAATAAAAGTCATAAGTAAGAGTTATTTTAAAAAGTTTTAAATACAATGCTATGTTTTAATTACAGCCATTAAAGAGATATTATAATTACATTTAGAAGTTTCTTTGTGAATTTCATCAAACTATTTCAAAATACAGACTTGGGTTTAATAAGTGTGTTCATAAGACAGCTGACATAAAATCTGATTTATATTTAGGTAAAATTAGTCTTTACAAGAGCAGTATAAATAGAACTTGTTCATACATCTAAATGAAATAAAGAAAATGACTCTTGTTAGAAAGACAAATTTCAATTCTGACTCACCAGATGTGTGACTTTGGGTATTTTTCTTGTCTAAGTCATGTTTCCTCACCTGTATAATGGATGACTACTGTTAATGCCTAGTTGAGCATTCATAAAGCTCAGTGATCATGACTCACAGTGAAGGTTTTAAAATGTAGTAACTTCTGGAGACCCAGCAAGGAAGAGAATCCTGCTCAGAGGGAGCATGTGGAGACTAGTTACTAGGTTATGGGGACAAATGAGACTGTGAATGCTGTGGTTTGAATATAGCTTGTCTCTTTGAAACTGCAAGAAATTTGATTCCTAACTTAATGGTATTGAGAAGCGGTAGGAGCTTTAGGAGATGATGAGATTGTGGGGCCACCACACTCATGAGTGGATTAATCCTGCTTGTTACAAAGCAAGCCAATTCCCTACTGGCTCCTCTTCTATTCCCTACTTGCCCTTCTGCTTTTCTATCATGTTATGATGCATCACGAAGCCTTTGCCAAATGTTGGTTGGCACTCTGCTCTTGGATTTCTCTAGCCTTCAGAACTATAAGCCCAAATAAAATTCTTTCCTTTATTAATTACTCAATCTCGGGTATTTTGCTACAGCAATAGAAAGCAGACTAAGACAGTGAGGCTCTCAGAAGCTAGCCTAGCATGAAGCTCTTAGGAGAGCAATTGGTATTCTAGACTCTTCTAAGGAGAGGAAGGCTGGAAGAGGGGCCTAGTGAGAAACACAGAAACAAAGCTACTGCTAGAGAGGCAAATGGTTCACAAGGTATGATGCAGAAATAAATACTCTAGTCTTTCTTTTGTCACACACTTCAATTTCATATTAAAGTTGGAAACTGTTGGCCAAACCCAGGGAAAGTATCCTATAAAGTTTTTGACCATGTTGAGTCTGCATGAGAGAGCTGCTAGGGAGACAGAGCTGAGGAGAGAAGGGTGGACAATAGATCTTGGGGAGACAAATGAAGAATAACCTATCCAATACTAAGATTTTACACAAAGAAATTTCTCTGAGAACCCTTCCTATAAACATCTTGTTGATGCATAATTCCAACTGGAAGTAAAGACTTAACAGACTTTGTAAACTTAAGTATCCAAGATTTTAAGAATCATCTCTCAGAGGCATTTGGCAGAAAGGACTCTACTAGTTCTCATGAAAAATTTGCAGAAGTCTTGGAAAACTTTTCAAGCCAAGATTTGGAAGAATTTGACTTCCTTCTTTTGGACATCGCCAGCCCAGGTCTCTTGTCATTTGTGGCTTCCTGTGTCATAAGCAGTCTTGATGTACTTGCTTAGTCACTTGCTAACTGTTATTTTCCAGGCAGCTCAGCAAAGGATGACTACTTCATAACAAATCAACCTCATGGTAATTGGAAATCCTAGTAATGGATTCCCTTGAATTCAGAGTCTGTGTGGTTTGCAGAAACTTTTCCTCTTCCCAACTTTGCCATCCCTGTGCCTTACTCCTGAAGCAGAACTAACCCATAGGCAAAATGATGGAAGAGGACAGCAGTGAAGAAACATGTTTCCTTCCGTGAAACTAAGATGGAGTTATAGCCACTGTCAGAGTCTTGAATGTTCACTCTAGGTATCAACACAAACAAAACCCTCACTGCCGAATTTCCTAGAAACTTGAATTTGAAAACTTGAAAGAACTGACACAAAATTGGCAATCACTGTTTTAATGGAAAGGAACACCCTAGAAAAACTGAAAATTGAGAGTAAAAAGCAAAGATGAATCCTTTTGGAAGTACAGTACCACATGCAGTTAAACAATAAATATAACTGAAATAGATTGATTTCTGGAAAGAAAATATGGGGGGCACTTATGAAAATTTTATATAAAGGAACAATTTAAATTATCCAGAAATAACCTTAAGGGTAAACAGCAAAAGAAGAAATATGTATTCAAGGAAATCTATGAAAATTTGGTAGGAAAGTTTATTTCATAGTATTCTCCAGATCACTTCCTTCCTAGTCCTTCCTGGGTCAGCAAGGCAGAAATGCTACTCCAGATAGCTGCTGCTAAGAACACAGCTCTTTCTATTCCCTGGGTCTAGGCTGAAGGGCTTTCAGTGCAGAAGGAGCAGGAATTCCGGTTTTCTCAGCCAAGCCCAGCTGCCTGTTGCTAAACCAAAGCCTCAGAAGAATAAAATTGCTAGGTGGAACTTTCTTCTTCCACTCAACTTGGAAATTCTATTTGGGGTGTGGTATATTGAGAATACTGGGGCCCTGATAGCCCTGCCTTGGTCCTTGAAGTGAAGATTCCACACTGTGAGGGGCAGGCTGAGAAGATGGCTGGCTGTGCTCTTCAACCACCCCACCCACCAAGCATTCCGCCCTCAGAGGCAGGGTGCCATTTAGAGAAAATTCTGTCATTGTCTCTATGCCCAGTTCCTCAGCCTTTGACTCAGAAATTTTGCCTGGGGAAAGAACCACTGGATAAATCAATTAGCTTCTAATCTCTACCAGAAGGAGCTGACTTCATTGGAAACCAAGTGTAGAGAAGTTTAAACCTAAGGGGACTCTCCAGAACAGTAGAAATCGGGCAGAACCAGTCGAAAGAAGATTAGGGGACTGAATGAAGACACAGCCTAAACTGTAGGCCAGGTATTTTGTGGGACAAGAACTGGGAAATAAGACAGCATGGAGGAGTTCTCCTGGGATTAATACAAATATTAGCTCTGACCTCAAAATCTATTCCATCCAAAGAACCACACTATGATTGGATTAGTTTGTGGAGGGATTTATGCTCCAAGGGACTATTGTCAGCAATAGAGTAATAGGTTCCAAATTAGGGGAGTTTAACAGCTGGATGTAGTCAGGAAAACATTGAAAAAGAACCTTACCATTATTACTGTCATCCCAGGGTGGCTGCAGAATAATCTCAAAGCTGTGCCTCTCTGATTAGAGCTTCAGTGTGTGTGAGGGTCAGAGAGGGAGTTGGAGGTGAACTAGATTTCACTAAATTCACCCAGCAGTCCCTAAGCAAATAGGAAAATAATTACAAGCCTGGGGAAAGGAGGGATAAATTTCCAGAATTGGTACAATGTAAAATATGCAATTTCTAACAAAAAATTATCATGCGTACAAAGGAAAAGGAAAGTATGACCCATATTCTACATAAAAAGCAAGCAACAGAACAGTTACCACACTAGCCTTTGTGAGTCTGAATTGTGAAAGTGAATTAAACAAATAAAAAAGCAGAGATTTTTAGATTGGGTTAAAAAACATGATCTAACATATGTTGTCTAAAAGAGAGACAACTTGATTTAAAGACACAAATAGATTGGAAGTAAAAGGACAAAAAAAAAAGGAACAGCAACCTTAAAAGTGCTGGAGGGCTGGGGATGTAGCTCAATGGTGCCACACCTTCCTTGGAAGCACAAGGCCCTGAGTTTGATCCCTGGTACCACACACACGCACACACAGACACACACACACACACACACACACACAGTGCTGGATTGTTGAACTAATAGGTAAAATAGTCTTTAACACAGAAAAACTCTCCTAGAGAGATAATGAGGGAAGTTTAATGATAGATAGGTCAATCCTTCGGGAAAATATAACAATTATAAATGTATGTACCTAGTACTAAAGTACCAAAATACACGAAGCAACAACTTACAGAAATGAACAAAGACATACATAATTCAATGATATTTGGAAAA